ATGCCAGAAACGGAATTAAAGCTCAAGTTTAATCGCCTGTGGTAATACCTTCTTACTACTCGCGTCTATCGCAACATACACGGAACACTATTTGTGCCTAAATATGCACTGAATAGTAGTTTTATTAAGTAATATAAATATTACTGTATATTGCATGAAATACCACTTTATAAGAACACAACATTTGTGGCTGTGGAATTAGTGTAAATCCATTCTACATAATACTTTCATGCAGTGTTACCATTTTACTACACACTACTATAAATTTAGTTAAAGAATTACTATTCGACAAAACTACACTGCAGTTACAGTGGAGTTCGCAAGATCAGATTTACTGCGTAAACGATTTTTGCGTAGTACTATAATATACTAATGCCACGGAAATAAGAGTACAAAGTTGGTGCATTAGTACTTCGTACTTATACTTCACAACTGTGCATTTACAATAGTGTGCATTATTAGTAAGCAAAAGTACGATTCTACACTAGTGCTGCATGTACACTACAAAAAATGCAGTACCCTACTCCTTTACATACATACTTTATTAATCCTGCAGTAGTGCCCATCGGAAAACAACCCAGAGACTTTATGTGCTACCTTTAAAAACCGGAATCATACTGATACTATAAAAACTAGAGTAGTACTAATTTATAATATTGCATTAGGCTTCTAGAATTTTATAATGTAGCAATAGACTATAAATGCTGTAAATAAAAAACGCAAACCTATTATCATAACCTGTTCTCTAAAACAAATATTACATAACGATTCTATTCCGCACTAACAGTACTGTTAATAATATTAACAGTGCTAGTTCCTTAATTAATTTTTTCCAGTACATACAGCATAAAAGCTTGTGCTTTACATCACGACGAAGGTCTGGACAAAGTTGAAATACCAATTTTATCCATGTCGAAGTTTCTCACTTATTTGTATATAGGCGATTATATAGCAGAAATAATTTTAACATATTCAGACATTCAGAAAATTTTTATTCCACTTTCTTCCAGACTTTCATCACTTAATACATTCACATCCATTAGCAGCGCGATGGCACCATCAGCAGTGGAAGGTAACTCCATACCGAGAAAAAATTTATGCTGACATTAATCCCAAACAAGCGTTATCATAATAAGCAAAACATGAAAAGTAGTACGGAAAATGCACGCAGAAAATCAACATGCTTTCACACGTTTTCAGCACAAAAAAGAACTACGGGGCAAACGAAAGTTTTATTTTCCCGTAAATCGACGCACAGAAATCGTGCTCACAGGCAGGTGTGTGCAATCAGTCTTCAAGAAAGAAGAAATTTCCGCTTTTCTTCTGATCAACGTCCTAAAAGCAATGTCTAAAAAACCTCTTTCTCGAAATCTTTCTATTTTGTTCACCTTTACGGAATTCAGTTTATTGATCCTTGGGCGGTAGTTATTAGGATCGCGTCGGAAAGTTATGTCAAGTTGTTCGAGAAATTTGTTCATGCCGTTTAAAAGACTCTGTGGTCTAAAACAGAAATTTCTTTTATTTATATTTGCAACAAATTGAAACACTCAGATTTAGTGGGTATCAACAAATAAGGCTGATATTTAAAAATCTTTCAGTTTTACTACGATCGTTTGGAACATCACGAACAGCCCGTCAAAGACCGGGAACGACTTTAAATACTGCTACTAACCACTGAATGCTTATCGTGGGCATGACAACACAATCTGGTAGCAAAGGTAAGTTTCCGACAGCCTCCATCACAAATTAATCACTAAAACTGAAGAAACAGGCATTATCAAACAGATTAAAATCAAATGACTAAAGTAACATTGTCATCAATGGTCCTAAGCCCGGATCAAAAATCCCGAGAGTTTGGAACCGTTGTGACGATACCCTCAAAGCTTAACCACCTGTCCCTCATGTTATTTAAGCGATCGAACGCTATAACGACCCGGTCCTCGCCCGGTACGAAGGACCACGTAAGCTGTTTATGAAAGGAAACAAACTACAAACAGTCAGCTGTCAGAACCAGCGTCTACCCTTCCGGCCGCAAAGGAGTAACAGCACGACAACGGTCGCCGAACAAATAAGCTAAGATGAATAAAATGCCAGTTTTCAGCTGAGTCGCTACCCGTTTTGACGGAGGAAGCTGACAGGGTGATGCCATTATAGCAACTCAGAAAAGAATAAAAGAATCCGCGGGAATGATATCGACAGTGGGATCTTAAAGTCGGAAACTGGAACATATCCCAACTCAGACAGAAAGAACAAGAGTTAGTTGATGAAGCTATAAAGTACCAACTCGACATCGTTGGACTCTCGTCAACGAAGTGCCAAGGCTCTTTAAACCTGAACCCCTGCAGATGGAAGCTATTCTACTCGCTTGTCCATATCATGACGCGATCTCTGGCCGGTGATGGTGTTCTGGTAGAAATTAACGAATGACTCAGTGAGAATGGCAAACTTCAGACTGAAGTTGCAACAGCAGATAACTTATACATTGTTACAGGTTTATGTTCCCAATGATTTATTCCAGGAGGAATGAGCAGGTACTCTGCACGAAATGCCGACTACAGAATCTATCATTCTGGTGGGCGACGTCAATGCGCTTAATGAAACAAACACTGAAAAGTGGAAAGGCGTGCTTAGAACTAACGACCTTGGCGACCTCAGCAATAACAACATGAAGCTGTTCCGGTTATATGCAAACAACGGACTGTTCAACATGAACATCTTCGAGCATCAAAGCGTGCATCCTTATATCTGGTATAGGGATGCTTGAACAATAAGTCAACGATCGATTCGAAAACCCTATCGTCTGACTCAAAACCCTGTTGGTAATGGTAATGGCTATTCAGCGTTATTTAATCATTCTTTAGTACAGTTATTTCAGACAGTCCAAACCCAGCCTTCGCCTCTCGCAGCATATTATAACGAGCGAAATTACAAAATCTAGCTTTCACTGCGTTTTGACTTAGGAACTCAGTCAAGAATAAATGAATTTGTGCACTTTCATTAATACTACTCGCGCCATTTGTCTAGAAGCCAGTTTATCATTATCTGCGACGACGGAGCTCTTCGAAAGTCAAAATGTGGATGTTTGTCATTTTCATTATCCTGCTCTGTGATAATATCGCGGAATGCAAAATTCTTCCGCCTTTTTCTTTGATACGAATCTTTACAGCATGCTGAAACATGGCGTCCATGAATGATGTTAATAAACCAAAAAAATTTTTTACTTGAATTTTAATTTTTTGGCAACTAGTTATATCTTGCTCGTTAGCAGAGTACAAGACGTGGCATAATGTCACGAAACAGATATGCGTTTAGTATACATTATTTTAACATTACATCATATCACACTTACGAAGAAGCATGAGTCGATATGGACGGCTGGCCATCGAACACGATTACCCGGTCAGAAAGGTAGGTAGCCATTATGAAATCGTGTTCTACAACGAACGCAGTTTTCTTGGCGTGCAGGATGAATCTTAAACATCGAATTTAGAGCAATCAGAAGTTTGGATCCTCAACGACGCAGCTACGGCTCGACACTTAGACTCATGGATGAATATTTTCACGTTGAAGAGTAAACTACAGATCGCAAAATTTCTTACCGTCACAAGCACAAACATTGACGATGATGAATTCAACGATTATGAACCTCAGAAGGGACTAAATGAAACCCTCCAGCAAACAACTGGTTGGATTCAAACCATACTGCTAACTTAATAAATAACTACATAAGAAATGTAATTTCTCACAACTAAAAGGGAACCATTTAAGGAGTGAATTTCTAAACAACCGATTTCTCCTTTTGATTAATGCCCTTTCCTCTGATTTCTTTCCATTCTTTGCCACCATCTTCTTTGTCCTCTGTGCTTCTTCAACTTGTTCGTCTTCCTCCTTTAATTCACTTCATACTAGACTAATTCTTGTTTTACTCGTTCCTCCATTTCCACTTCGCATTTTCTTTTTCCATCTTATTCGTCAAAGACGAGGATACCCTAAATGCGCTAATACGGAACCAGGGATGATATAATCAACTTCCAAAAATATTTCCTTCGAAACAAGTCTCATGCCCCAAAGCATGCAGAAACAGTTAAAAAGTATGCAAATTACCAATATACTACCTTTTGATCACCTTTGCAGCATGTAAACGTTGTTCGGAATCCAAATAAGCCGATGGTTCGTCGATCAGGTACACGTCCGCCGGTTTGCCTAAGCACAGCACTAATGCCACTCGTTGCAGTTCACCACCAGATAAATTCTGCACCTAAACATCATTCATCGGTTTGAAGTCGCACTCCCCACAAGTGATTCAGTGAAACAGAATACTGCTAATTTCTAACTGACCAACTGCTACAGTGAAATCTATGGCGAGCACAAGTGATAGGCTCAAGATGCAGTTACAGCTTCTTTTGTAGGACTGTGATTCACTTAGCAGTGCATTCCTGATCTTTATTTGGTAAAAGGGTGAATATATTTGTGAACTTCATTACTGGTCGCTACTCACCTCTTGGTCCATGATATGTTCAATGTTCAACGGTTTCAAGACGTCGCTGACGAATTGTGGATGAATGTAAGCGTCACGGATTTTCGTGTGAAACAGCTGCCTGACGGTGCAAGTCGATTTTGGGCTAATTTTCTGTGGCTTATAAGATATGTTCAACTGAGGGATTTCGTCTGCAACATCAGTTGATCACGAACAGCATATTACGCAACCGCATCGTTTTCTCATGCATACCTGATTCTTCGTCCGGTACCAGTTTGCCGGCCAGCATTCGGATCATGGTCGTCTTGCCAGTGCCGTTTTCGCCCAGCAATACGATGATTTCAGAATCTGTGAATTCTCCAGAATCGACGCTGAGTTCGAATCCTCCTAAAAAATAAACCTTTTACATACTCAAATGAAAGGCGATTACGTATAAACACTGAATACTGGGGCCAAGCACTCTGACGATCTGCGAATTTTCTACCCGTTGAAAAAAATAGCAATTTTCAAACCGAGCCCATGACTTGAAAACATTAAAGATAGTTTCATCAACATGGTTTGATATAAAATGACTTTTTGACATGTTCCTTTTTAATGAATAGTGGAATAAGAGCATGCTGTATGAAATTTGCTACGTCTGAACAGTTCAACACAATGTTGGTACTAAGAGGCGATTTCACCGCACCGATGAAGGGAAGACTCTTCATTACACAACAGGTACTTGTCATGTTCTTCCAGCCAAGTAATACGCTCTTCCAGTTATTTGCCAACACTACTGATATTCTGGCGAATTTGCGAGGCTAGGGTGACTCCAAGAAAATGAATTAGTCATAGCGGTCTTCTCTGTCTTTGAACATCAAAATATTCCCATAATATCGATTAAGTGGAAAACACGGACTTTTTGGAGATATCTTAAAATTGCTTAAAAGTACAGATAACCAAAAATCGATGATTCACTGAGGTCGACCTAACCTCATTCATTCGCGTCTATCATTCACATGAGAACCTCACGCATTTCGAAACATTAACTTAAAATATAGATTAAAGATTTAAGAGGGCACAACGAAGTTCTGGAAATATCTTCTCGGCATTCTCATGCTTTCCAACTACAATTTTGAGAGATTTACATATATTTCCGAATATTGATGTGATGGAAATGTGATACTGTTTCACTGATGTGATAAAATTTCCATATCTAATACTATTTCAGTAACTAAACAATATAAATAGATATATTAAAATTAATAAACTTTCACCGAATTAATGAATGTCAAGGAACTAAACAAAGTTTACAGCAAATTTCTTGATAGACAGTCATTTAACAGTGGGTGGAAAAACGCTGATGAAGTCAAGCTTCTACGGTTTGAGAAAAAAACGAATCTGTAAAACGAATAAGGATTCAGAAACGAAATTGACTATAT